ACCGCGGAGCGGATTCCCTTGATCTTGGATTCAAGGAAATCCAGCATCTCCTCGCAGTGAAGGTTGGAGGAGATGACCTGCGCGGGGTGGCGGGGGGGACGGAGGAGTCGGGATGTGGTGGAAAACAGTAGCCTGGGGTTGTTCTTCGCCTCCAGGATTATCCTGGAGTAGAAGGACGACTTGGCCGAGGCTAGAGTGGAGCGGTAAATTTTGAGGAGGTCCAGCCAGATTTGTCGGTGGACCGTTAAGCCGGATTTGACAAAGGTGCGCTCAGCAGCCCGCACCTGGCATTTCAGTGAGCGAAGGTGGGTGGTGTACCAGGGGGAGGAGCGGGAGTAGGAGACAGTGCGGGAAGTGATGGGGGCAAGAGTACGACAGAACAGAAAGTTTTGTGACAGACCCTTTGTTAGACTTTTAAATTTTTTCCTCCTTGAGAGGGGGAAATGTCATGGTTATCCTATTCTTGCAGTCTTTTGTAATGTGTTAAGAATATGTATATATAACTATATAATATTATTTAAGGGAAATGGTGAAGCCTGCCCCTTTAAAAGGGTTCTGTAAGATTCCAAGTTGCAAAAGCTGCTTGCACCAGTTTGCAGCAAAGTAATAGATCCACGACTGCTTGATTGACAGTCAGCTGACAAGCAGTTGCAGCGGAAAATAATACGTGGGCGCGAGCGCAGGAGAAACCCTTGCATTGGCATCAGAAGGTGGGCGGAGCCACACATGTATATAAGAAGAACAACAACAAAATTACATTTCATGTAGGGAGGACGACCCAAAGCGCTGGACAGACAGAGTTTCGGAACCCGAGCTGGGGGTCGGGATTGCGGAGGGTGGCGGGCAGGGGGGGAAGCAGGGAGATCGAAAGCATGGCTGAAGAGGAGGGTCTTGAGATGGGTCTTGAAGTGGGCAAGGGACTGCGGGATGGAGTTCCAGAGGTTGGGTGCAGAGTGGCAGAAGACCCGCCTGCCAATAGTGGGGCGAGCATAGTGGGGGACGTGAAAGAGGCTGGAGCACGCTGAGCGGAAGGAACGGACAGGATGGTAGGGGGTTAGGAGGTCACAGAGATAGGGAGGGAGTAAGACCATGGAGGGCTTTGAAGGTGAGGACCAGGATCTTGAACTGTATGTGTGTGTGATTAGAAGCCAGTGGAGTCGGGCGAGGATGGGGGTGATAGGGTCAGGGAGCCTGGTGCGGGAAAGGATACAGGCTGCAGAGTTCTGGATGATCTGCAGTGTATGGAGGGAGGAATTGGGGAGGCCGACAAGCAAGGAGTTTGCATAAAGGCTTGATGTAATGAGAGCAAAGAGGAAGTTGACCCCATGTCTGCAGATGATGTCACCAAGAGGGAGCACATAAGATATTGAAAAGAAGGGGACCAAGGACAGAGGCCTGAAGAACGCTGCACGAGAAGGCCGCAGAGAACAAACCGTTTGTGGAGATGAAGTGGAGGCGGTGTGACAGATACGATCTGAACCAGTCAAGGACAGAGCCATGAAGGTTGAGGTGAGAGGAGAGGCCGTGGATGAGGATAGAGTGGTCGACAGTGTTAAAGGCAGTAGGGAGGTCAAGGAGGAAGAGGAGGCAGAGAGCCCTGATTGCAGATGGACAGAATGTCATTTGTCACTTTGAACAGGGTGGTTTCTGTGCTGTGGGCGTCATGGAAACCCGATTGGAGGGGTTTGTGAAGGGAGTAACGGAAGAGGAAGGAGCGAAGCTGGGAATCAACAACTCGTTTCAGGACCTTGGAGAGGAAAGGGAGGTTGGAGAATGGGGCGATAGTTTGAGAGTAGAGATGGGTCCAGGGAGGGTATTTTAAGGATAGGAGTGATGACGGTGTTTTTTAATGGGGTGGGAACAATACCAGTGGACAGGGAGAGGTTTATGAGGTCTGTGATTAGAGGGGCAAGGAGGTGGAGCTGGGAGGTTATAGGTATGGGGTCATGGGAAAAGGTGGTCATTTTCATGTGGGTTATAATGGTGGTGAGAGAGGAGTGGGAGACAGGTTCGAAGGTGTGGAGGGAGGGATGGGTAGAGGCCGGAGTGGGAAGGGGAGATGGGGATGGTGTAACAGATGGAATGTCAGAGGCAGCTGAGCGGATCCCCTCGACTTTGGCATCGAGGAAGTCCAGCATCGCCTCACAGTCGGCATTTGAGGTGAGGATGAGGGAGATGTGAGAGGGTTGGACAGAGGAGCCGGTTGGTGATGGAGAAAAGGAGCCTTGGGTTGTCCTTGGCCTCCAAGATTGTCTTGGAGTAGAATGATGATTTAGCAGATGTGAGGGTAGAGTGGTAAGATTTGATAAGGTCCAGCCAGATCTGCCAATGGACCGTTAAGTTTGATTTAAGCCAGGTACGTTCAACGGCTCGTACCTGTGCTTTAAGGGAATGGAATATGAATATGCTGTAAAGTGAATTGACTGTATATTTGTGGGAGGCAATGCTTGGGCTCCTTGTGGTCGCTAACTAATTGTCATCATTCGGTAAGTCAGGGTTGGTTCATATTTGTTTACTAATGTAGTATTGTGCTGCAAGTTGTGATAGTTATGTTTGATCCCATTGTTGTATATCTGCCATTGTTGTGTACCTTATATGCAAGGTAGCCTAGGGTTGGTAGGTTTTAATTAAAGAGCTGTTGTTTCAACTGAATGTATCCTCAAGTCTCTGTCGTATTCTAGACAAGAAAAGGAGTAAGCAACTTTGTAGTTGTCAACATTGGAGGTCTACTAGTGCAAGACAAGACTTTGAGTGGAGTTGTGCCTTGAAGGAGGCCAGAGAGATGGGGTCACAGAGCCTAGTGCAAGAGAGGACACAATCTGCAGAGTTCTGGATGATCTGCAGCTTGTGGAGTGAAGAGTTGGGGAGGCCGACAAGGAGGGCGTTTCTGTAGTCAAGCCTTGAGGTGACGAATGTGTAATAAGGGTTTCGTGGCCTGAGGGGTGAGGCAATGGGGGAGGCTGGCAAAGTTGCGGAGGTGGGGGAAGGCAGAATGGGTCATGGCACAGATATGTGTGAGAAAGGACAGATGCCTAGGTTCCTGACAGGCTTGGTGAGGTGGAGTTTGCAACCGTGGATGTTGATGCTGCATTTAAGCATTTAAGTTGATGCTGCTGAATTTAAGCATTTCGGAGGGTAATTGTCAATGTCGGAGGTCTACTAGCGCAAGCAGACTCTGATTAGACATTCCAATTACAATAACAACTTACACTTATATAGCGCTCTCCATGCAGTGTCTCAGAGCACTTAGTCAACCAAACAGTTGACTAAGTGCTCTGAGACACTGCGTGGAGAGCGCTATATAAGTGCAAGTTGTTATGTGAAACTCTTGACTTGGTTGAGTCATCTTTGAAATAGTGACTCACTCCGCCAGAGTTAAGAGAAGCAAAAGACACTTAGCACAAAGCGTTAATAAAATTTGCATGTACATCAAAGGGTGTGAACCGTCTCCTCTCTCTCCTGAGAGGTGGAAACCCCTTCAATCGGGTTTCCGTGCTGCCCATAGCACAGAAACTGCCCTGGTCAAGGTCACCAATGACATCCTGACCATCTGTGACCAGGGCTCCCTCTGCCTCCTCGACCTATCGGCAGCATTCGATATGGTCGACCATGCTATCCTCCTCCACCGCTTGTCCTCCCACCTAAACCTTCAAGGCCGTCCTTGAGTGGTTTAGGTCGTACCTCTCCCACCGACTTCACTTTGTCTCCACAAATGGTTTTTCTTCCGGCCCCCGCACTGTCTCGTGCGGTGTCCCTCAAGGCTCTGTCCTCGGTCCCCTCCTCTTCACCCTCTACATGCTCCCCTTTGGTGACATCATCTGCAGACATGGGGTTAACTTCCACATGTATGCGGATGACACCCAACTCTACCTTTCCTCCTCTACCCTCAACTCCACGACCACCCATGTCCTGACAGCTGCCTGTCCGACATCGAGTCCTGGACGAGAGATAACTTTCTCCAGCTCAACGTGCGCAAAACTGAGGCCCTCCTGATTGGCTCACGTCAGCGCCTCCGCACCTCAGGCGCTGACAGCATCAGCATCCAAGGCTGCACTCTCCACCTCTCAAAGCCGGTCAGGAACCTCGGGGTTCTGTTCGACCCTGAGCTGTCCTTTCTCCCCCATATCCGCACAACTGGCACCATCTTCCATCACCTCCGGAATGTCGCCAGACTACGGCACTACCTCACCCCTCACGCTGCTGAAACTCTGGTCCACGCCTTTATCACCTCAAGGCTGGACTATGGGAACTCTCTCCTCGCCGGCCTTCCCGCCACCTCCCTCCACAAGCTGCAGGTCATTCAGAACTCTGCAGCTCGTGTACTGTCCCGCACCAGGCTTCGGGACCACATCACTCCCACCCTCGCTCGCCTCCACTGGCTCCCCATCCCCCAGAGGATCGAATTCAAGATCCTCACCCTACCAAGGCCATTCACGGCCTCGCTCCCTCCTACCTCTCCAACCTACTATCCCCCTACCTACCTGCCCGTACCCTCCGTTCCTCTGGCTCCGGTCTGCTCCACGTCCCCCGCCCCAACCGCCCTACCATCGGTGGCCGGGCCTTCAGCCTCTCAGCCCCCAGGCTCTGGAACTCTATCCCCCAGTGCCTTCGCCACCTCCTCCCTTTCCTCCTTCAAGGCCGGTCTCAAGACCTCTCTTTGACCGTGCCTTCAGCTCCCCTCTCGACTCTCTACCCCCTCCTCGCTCCCTCCCTTCCCTCCCCTCACCCTGACCATTTCCCCCCTGCTCGGGTCCTGACCCAACTGTACAGCGCCTTGGGACGTCCTCCCGACGTGAAAGGCGCTCAATAAATGGAATCTTGTTGTTGTTGATGTCCTGGTCAACAATCTCCAAATAAAATTGGTCACTCATTTGGTTCAATTGGCTGCGGCGTTTCACCCCCAAAATACAGTCAATCCACTTTACAATATATCTTGTGAAGCGCTTTGAGACGTCTCGATACGTGATCAAACGCTACATCAAAGGTGAGGATGACTGTAAGATTGTTCTGCAGACTGGGGTGGAGGGAGTGACGATGCGCACACGCGGGTCCTGGTTTGATTGACGGGACGGGGCGGGAGGCATCGGGCAGGGACCAATGAGGAGAGGTGTTGCTGGAGAGCGGGAGGGGGGGCGTTGCTAGGGGCCGGGCGCGAGCGGAAGGTCGGTGTGAGCGAGGGAGGCAGAGGGTGGGGGCTGCCACGGCCATAGCAACGGCAGTGGCGCTGAAACATGTCTTACTACAGCGTCAGGTAGGAGCACCGACGCGTTTTGGAGATGATTAAAAAAGGACAGGGGTCGCGGCGAGTGTCGGGGGTGGGGGGCTACTCTTTCCTCCCGAAGCAGTACGGTTAGCGCCTGGCGCTCCCGCCCCTCATTGCAACCTCCGCACGAGCCTTGCAGCCCCCGGGGGAGAGGAATGTGCAGAAAGCACTGTAACCCGGCGTCGCAACCTTGGGGTTTAGTTAAGGAGTTTGTTTGTTGGTGTGAAGTGAGAAGCATTTGAATGGGTACCGTGAAACCAGCTTTGACGTGTTTAAAATGTGTTACGTTTTTCTTCAGAAAGAGAGAGGGTGTAAAAAAGGTATTCCAGCTTTTTAAAATATATGCACAGGCTGTGGGACACCTCTCACTGGGTTAAAATCCTCCTTTTTGTGTTTTTTTTCATTGATGGCGAGTTGTGTCTTGTCTTATGGCCGTTTTTGGTCGTTCTGACCTTCGAGTTCAATGTAACTTGTTCAGCTCTGAAAATGGTGTGAGTAAGAACTTTAGCATATTCAGGGCATAGTCATAATAAAGTGCTGGTTTTCTGTATTTTTGGGTAATTTTTTTTTGCAAATTTGTATAATTAAATTATGTCACTAGATGCTTATTTTCAAGTTTTCCAAAGTCTTATTTGAAAAAATTATAAAAAAATACTCTTGTTTCAAAGGTTCTAATTATGAAAATTCCACTGGTCCGATTTCCTGATTTTTCCATGTGTACAGCAGTTTGCTTCTTTAATTCACCTTCACAATACTCCTAAGTCAGGGTGGTCCAACCATTTGGCTGCCATGCGCCAAATTCACTATTTGAGAAAGGTCCGCGGGCCGCATCTGGCCCGAGATCATTTCCAATATTCCAACCTGTTTCCTCCCTTCGTGGTGAATGTCCTATTAGGCCAGTTACAGGAGCTGGCAATGGGAGTTCACAGCGAGAGAGAGGTGGGCCGGCAGGGGGAGGGGGTGAGAGAGAGGTGGGCCTGGGGTGGGGTGAGAGAGAAGTATGTGGCGGGGGGCAGGTGAGAGAGAGGTGTGGGGTGGGGTGAGAGAGAGGTGTGGAGTACGGGAGAGCCCGGGAGAAAGGGGTGGGAGAGCCTGTTCGGGTTGGGGAGAGCCCTGTGGGGTTGGGGAGAGAATGGGGAGAATGACGAGGAGAAGGGGGGGAAATAGGAGGGAAGAGATATAGAAGGGGGTGGGGTGAGAGGGGGGAAGACACTTCCCCTCTTCTCTCAGGCGCGCTCTCTCCCCCTCCTCTCTCTCAGGCGCCCGCTCTCCCCCTCCTCTCTCCCAGGCGCCCGCTCTCCCCCTCCCTCTCTCTCAGGCGCCCGCTCTCCCCTCCTCTCCCCCTCCTCTCGCCCAGGCGCCCGCTCTCCCCCTCCTCTCGCCCAGCCGCCCGCTCTCCCCCTCCTCTCGCCCAGGCGCCCGCTCTCCCCCTCCTCTCGCCCAGGCGCCCGCTCTCCCCCTCCTCTCGCCCAGGCGCCCGCTCTCCCCCTCCTCTCGCCCAGGCGCCCGCTCTCCCCCTCCTCTCGCCCAGGCGCCCGCTCTCCCCCTCCTCTCGCCCAGGCGCCCGCTCTCCCCCTCCTCTCGCCCTCCTTGACCTCTCTGCTGCCTTCAATACCATTGACCACTCTATCCTCCACCATCGCTCCTCTCACCTCAACCTCTGCTGTCCTTGACTGGTTCAGATCAGCGTTGTCCTTGACTCGTTCAGATCGTACCTGCACTTCATCTCCACAAACAGCTTCTCCTCTAGTCCCTGGATTGTCTCGTGCGGCCTTCCTTAGGGCTCTGTCCTTGGTTCCCTCCTCATGAATATCTATATGCGCTCTCTTGGTGACATCATCCGCAGATGTGGGGTCACCTTCCACATGTATGCGGATGACACCCAATTCTATCTCACTGCCTCCACCCTTGACTCCAGAAACACTGCTATCCTGACGGAATGTCTGTGAGATATCAAGTACTCGATGAGAGCTAACTTTCTACAGTTGAACGTCAACAAGACCGAAGCCTCCTGAATGGCTTCTGAAGCCTCATGTGCTGACAGCATCAGCATCCAGGGATGCAAACTCCATCTCACCTAGCCATTCCGGAACCATGGCATCTTGGTGGACTCTCAACTGTTCGTTCCACCCCATGTCTCTGCCTTCCCCCACATCCGTAACATTGCCAGTGCCTCACCCCGCAGGCCGCTGAAACTCTCATCCACACATTCATCACATCTTGGCTCGACTACGCCAACTCCCTGTTTGTCAGCCTTCCCAACTCTTCCCCCCACTAACCTGCAGATCATTCAGATCTCTGCAGCTTGTGTCCTCTCCCGCACCAGACTCTGTGACCCCAACCCTCGCCCGGCTTCACTGGCTTCCCATCCCCCCAAAGGGTAGAGTTCAAAATTCTTGTCCTTGCCTTCAAGGCCCTCCACGGCCTTGCTCCTTCCTTACCTCTGCGACCTGCTAACCCCATGTCAACCTGTCCGCTCCCTCTGCTCAGCAGGTTGTGCTGACCCGTCAGGCCGGCGAAACCCTGCCGGGTCCAACCCACCATCAGCGGTTGGGCCTTCAGCCTTTCTGCTCCCACCATTTGGAACTCCATCCCACGTTTTCTTTGCCTCACTCCCTCCCTTACCTCCTTCAAGGCACGTCTCAAAACCCTCGTCTTCGATCGTGCCTTCGGCCACACTCCCTGATCCTAATCCACAGCTCGGGTCCAAATCCCTGACTGTCCAGCGCCTTGGGATGTCCTCCCATGGCTATACAAATGTAATTTTGTATTGTATTGTAAATCCTGTGAAGTGCTTTGAGACTTCCCCCCCCACCCCCCCTTCCGTCATAATAGGTGGTATATCAAATGCAAGGAATATTATTAATTCCCTCTCTTTGAGACATTTCAACATAATTATAATCCTTGCATTGTATTTCATCACAGGATTGCACTAAGGAGTATAGTGACTGTATTTGTTGGTAAACATGGTAGCCAATTTATGCAAAGCAATGTCCCACAAATAACCATGAAGAAAATAAAGTTTTACTTGGGTGATTGTTGACCAGGTCACCAGGAAAAACACCTGTTTTCAAATTGTACCATGGGATCTTTAACATCCACCTGAAAAGACAGACATTGGACCCCTGGTTTAACTCATCCGAAGAATATGACTTTATATCAAATGGAAAGATTATTATGTTTAATTTGAAGGATAATTCTTCTAACAATGTTGTGTTCTCCCAGTATCGATCAGCTGTGTTAGAGGGTTGCTGATTTAGGCCCTAGAATAGTTTGATATTCCAATATTTGAACCCATAATCTTCTGGCCTTTGTGAAGCGTACAACGAACTGAACCAAGCTGACGCCTTTTTGTTTTTTACGAATTAAGTTACTAATACAGTTCTTTCATGACTCCCTTTTGAGATCCTAGGGCTGGGCAAAAGACGGCCCGCAGAATGGTTCTATCTGGCCCGTCATTGTGTCTAGCAATAGAAAAAATTATAGTTTGTTCATTCCCAGAAAGTTGCACAAATTTTGCATTTTGATCTGACCAAAAACATAGGCCAATCACACCGCTTAGTTGTGTGCACGTGTTGAATCAGGCTGATGTCAAACATGTACGGATTGGCAAATTTTCAAAAATGCGCGTGGCAACCGTGGCAATACGTTTCACTGAAGAGGACGTTAATTTTAAATGAGTTTATCAAAGAAGCGGAAAGTGGACGCTGAACACCGAATATTCTTTTATCAGTTTGGGTGGAAAATAAAACAAATAAAATAAATAAATTAAAAATTAAATCAAGAAAATAAAAAGTGTGCAGTTACAAAATAAGGTGAACAATTTTGCATGTTTTTAACTGGCACTCGATGAGAGTTTCAATGTCAAAGACACAGCCCAGTTGATAATTTTTATTTGAGGTATCACCAAACATTTTGAGGTCACAGAAGAATTGGCATTAATGCAGTCAATGAAAGATATGACAACTGGAGAAGACTTTTTGGAGGCAGTAAATAAGTGTATTTTAAAATTAGGAGTGGAGTGGAAAAAATTGGTGAATGTGACCATCGATGGAAGCCCAAATCTGACAGGCAAAAATGTTGGGTTACTGAAAAGCATTCAAGATCAAGTCAAAGAAACAAATCCAGAACAGAATATTGTTTTTCTACACTGCATTATCCACCAAGAGATCCTCAACGGCAACAGAAGGGGGCCTTTGTGCACAATTTGTATTGCAGTGTCAAGTCATTTATGACAATTATTTCTTTTATTGCATCAGATAGGAAACAGGCTGTTCACCCACTTTCCAACTTTGCAGCAGATTACTGTTTGCGATCAAAGCCTTAAAAAGTATACTTCGTCACTACTTGACTTAAATCCCGAATTTTCCCGCCGATTCCAGGATTTCAATTTGATCGAAAATGACCTGTCTTTGGTCTCTTCACCTTTCTCATTTGATGTTGACAAAGCCCATTTGACCTCCAATTCGAGCTTATTGACGTGTAATGTGATCATTGCTTGCGGAGCAATTCAAATCAGTGCTGCTTCCCAGTTTTTACACCTCTCTTAATGAATATACCTTTCAAAAATAAAGGCTCATGCCAGGAAGATGCTTGTGCTGTTTGGATGAACATAGATATGTGAGGAGACATTTTCTGTGATGACATTCGATAAATCAAAACAGATCTGTGATGACTGATGACCACCTTACAGCAGTGCTCCGCATTGCAATAATGGAGATGATACCTGACTTCAATTGTCTGGTTAACGCACATCGGTGCTTTCATTCTTCCCATTGAGTGAGCTTCTCACATTCTCATCAATATGTGACTAAATGAATCAATATCGAATAAATGTCTGCTCAATGAGTTGTTTTGATTTAACCTAATTTTAATGAATGAATTTATAGACTTTATTTTATGCATGTACAAGTGTAAGACTTGATTTAGAACATTTACATCTGTATTAAGTGTGTGACCCGCGAAGCTTGCCAAAACTCGTGAAGTGG